GCTCCTCTGTACAACTACTTAAAGATAATTAAAAAAAATAAAAACAAAAGACTGAGCAGGGTTTTCTCAATCGCCCTCTAAATACAGATTATCCACAACATACTGTGCATATGAAATGTGGGGCTCCCGAAACCACCAGGACCTGGAGGAGGAACTGGGTATTAGCAGTGGAAATGATTTATCTGTCTCAGGTCATCTGACCCCAAAAGAGTAATAAATTCAATAAATAGTTAAAATCAACCTTGATACATGTTATTTTAAGAACATGAAATCTAACTCCTCAAGAAATAAAAGATTTGTCTCAAATTAGTCTGCTTTAAGAATACAGGGAAGGGGAAAGTAAAAAGGCCCAGAAAAGCCAGATGTAGACAGGAGAGAGACCCATGGGCACAGGGGATGCAGACCTTTGTGAGCGACACACCCATTTTGTGGCCATTTTGGAGACTGCCACATCATGTTTAAATCTCACTGAACTTTTGCAATACGAGGAACTGAGTGGACAGCATTGAGAATGTGCAGTCTGAAGGCCTGAGCTCTCCTAGCGTTCCTGCTACTGCCCTCCTCGTATCGCCTGGGTCTCCCAGGACTTGGCCAGCCCTACCTGATTGGGTGCTGTGGGGAAGAACGACAGGAACATCAGAAGCTACAACAATGACCACATAACTGCTTCCTTTCTTAGACAGGCTTTCTAGGCATCTTCAGATGCAAGGTATTCACAATCCTCACAGTGAATAAACTGAGCTACAATTAAATTTTTTTTAACAGAATAGGACATCAATGAGCCAGCATTTCCTTTGCAAATTCCATCCTAAAAAGTTCAAAACTGGTTTCCACATCACTCATGTCCTGAACGTCCTTTTCTCCCCAAGGGGCTCAGGTGCACTGTCTGTACTTGCTCCACAGAGCAGGGCTTGCGATGTGTTGTCTGCAATCCCTCTTTACTCTCAGTCAGCAATAATCACTGTGAATGACCACTTGGCAGTAACTGACTCAGCGAATGCTTTGTCTCCCTGATATTTCTTGGTGTTAAGTATAACTGTAAGACAGCCAGTCATCACTAAACTGTATATACTGTATCTCATCTTTTAGCAGAACAACTTTTTTCTCATGTCCTGATAAAACTTAGGCTTTCTATGAATTTCAGAAAAAAATTACTGTCTCACTTAGGGGGAATCATTCCAGGTGTACCTCAAATATACAAAAGTTCCCCAAGCGGGAAGAACTGGAAAGATTTCAGATCTAGGCATGAAATAGACATACTGTACAGACATAGTGAAGGAACCTTGGTTAGCCATAACTCATTGAAAACACAGGCCAGGAATAAAAACACATCAGATGCTATATATTTGTACTGTAAAAATAAAGGCCACAGATCCGGGTAATGGTGGCACACGCCTGTAATCCTAGCTACTCAGGAGGCTGAGAGCTGAGGACCGAGGTTCAAAGCCAGTCCGTGAGACTTTTATTTCCAATCAACCACCAGAAAACTGGAAGTGGCACTGTGGTTCAAGTCGTTGAGTGCTTGCCTTGAGATGAAGAGTGCAGGGACAGCACCCAGGCCAACAACAACAACAAATTAATAATAATAAAGGACCTATTATTAAGGTGCTTGAAAGTAATAAAAAAAAATACAGAAGGTAAAACTTCTGGCTGAAAGCTGGTTTTAAGTCCTGCTGGCTGAAACCTTCTTTGTAAAATACTGAGTAGAAACTCAACAGCACATATATGCATTCATTGAATTGGTATTTATATACCAGATCTTATTTTGCTGTTAAGGATTTGGCAGTGAGCAAGATGCCAAAAAGTCCCTTCTGCTGCTGAGCCTCCTTTCCAGTGGGGGAAGCTGTGACAGAAGATAATGGCATAGAGAGCTACTACAGAAAGCTCTGATATCGCTTCCCTCATATCTGAGCAGGAGAATGGATGAAGTAAGAGTGTTGCCACACAGACAGCTAGGCCAATATTAGAACCACAAGAAACAGCTGATTATTCAAAGGCCTGAGGGTGAACATACTTAGCAGGTCTGACAATGGAGGCAATCAGGGGGTCTGATGTGGAAAGGGCAATGGAGAAAACAATAGGAGAGGGAATTAGGAATCAGAGGAAGTCAAACACTGACAAGGCCAGACCTTGTGGACAATGTATGTGACTGCCAGACCTTGTGGGCCGGGTCAGAACTCCTCAATTCTGCAGTGAGATGAGGCATTCTAGAAGGTTTTAAGGGAGGGGAGGGGTGCAGAAAAGCCAGGGGCCTGACAGTGAGATGGGGATGTTCCTGACGGAGGCAGTGCATACTTCAAGGATAGCTGGGATGTGGCGTGGGAAATGGAAGAAAGAGGCATGGGTGTCAAGAACCCGAGATGGGGATACTGGAGAACAGCATGTTTTGTTTTGTTTTTCTTTTGTAGGGGGAGAAATAAGGAGCAAAAAAGAGGCTCCTTTCTTGTGTGCTGAGCCAGGGTGAGGTGGGGAAGTTCTGTCAGAACCGTGCTTAGTACAAACCTATTTTCCTTGAGCACATTTGTGGATATTGTCTGGTAATTGCTTGAAAAACCAGAGAAGAACTTATTATAGCAGTGGCTATCATTTCTTGAACCCTTACGAATGTCCAGGCACTATGATATTGTAGCTAATTTGCACATACACGTTCCCTTAACCACAGCACTTACACAGTTACATCTTAATTTGAAGAGAAATTTCAAGGACTAATTTCTAGAAGTTCTCTTTCTTGCTTTCAAATAATCTCATTTTACTCATTTTTGTATTTTTACTGTCCCTTAGGCTAACAGGAAAAGTTTTTGTATTCTCCTGTTAACAGAGCAAGAAACCACTGCCAAGTTCTAGCTGTATGTAGTTCTCAGTTTCAGATGGCTCCTGGAAGCCCCAAATCATGCCCTCTATACATGCTGTGTATGGAGCAGTAGAACACTAAGAATGAGTGGTCCCAGAATCCTTTGGGATGTGGAGGTATCTGTTTATATATATTACCTTTGAACTGCTTTCTTCCAAGTACCTGTAGCTTTCTTTTTCATTTCAAATGCATCTAGGTTATTTAAACATTAGTTAGGTTATACTGTATCTAGTCTTGTTATGTGTTAAAAGAAGAAAAGTAAGTGCCAGGAACTGGTAGTTCTTGCCTATAATTATACTTAGGAGGCGGAGATCTGAGAACAAGGTTCGAAGCTACCCAGACAGGCAAGTCTGAGACTCTTATCTCCAATTAACCAATAGAAAACTGGAACCAGAGCTGTGACTCAAAATGACAGAGTGATAGACTCAAAGGGATAGACTCTGAACTAGGCCCTGAGAGGAGACGGGAGCTGGGACTGCTTCTTTACACGTCTTGTTTTTGTTTTAGGGATTATAGAAAAAACAAGAACCTTGGCTCCAACCAGCCCAGTTCTTGGAATGAAAAGAATGCCTCTAGGTCCCCCTCTCCTTAACAACTTGACCCACCTTCATTGTTCTGTTAAGGACTGACCAACTAAACAGGTAGCCAATAATCCGGCTCATCCTGAGTTTACTATAAACTCCGCCTTTCCACACATATATGTTAAACTCCACTAAACTCCTTTGTGTATGTTTACCTTAAGCCCGCTTTACCCTTGCATTTGTGAGTCATTTAAACCCAAAATGATAGGCTGGTTTAAACAGCCATTATGTGACAAAGTGTAACCTCACTGGCCACCTGCATGTGGTCTGGTATGACTGTGCAATCTTTTGGGTGTGTGACAATCTCATTGGTCGCCTACATGACCAGGCTTCACCTTGTGATTTTTGCCTTTAAAAACCTAAGCATGTGGGCCGCTCGTGGTCGCAGTATCAGCTCCCGAGCCTGTGCTGCGGCCCTGGCTGGTCAGTGTAGGAACCTTCTCAATAAAGTTGCTTCTTTAATATCAACTTTGTTGCTGTGGGCTCTGTCACTCCGGACGACTAGGTGGGCTTGCCTGCCTGAGTAGGGGTCTTCCTACTACAACTCAAAGCAAGAGAGCTCAGGGACAGTGCCTAGGCCTTAAGTTCAATCCCCACGACTGACCAAAAAAAAAAAAGCAGAAGGAGCAAAAGGAGGAGGAGGAAAAGAAAAGTAGCATGAATTACCTCAGTCTGACACTTAAGCAGAATTTTACAGTATTATTTACAGATAAAGAAATGAAACCTTAAATAAGACTGGAGCAGCTTGGACTTCAGACTCCTGAGGCCAGGGTTCTGGCTCCATTTTAAAAAGGATACAAGTTTAGGCTGGCATAACCGTCTTGACCTACCGATACTACTTTTTCTATCTGGAGTCATAGAAAGTGAACATAACTATCTTTTAAGTACCATATGCAAATCTAAATATAATTATATATTCTGCACCCTCTACTTGCATCCACCCCAAATTCCAAACAAAACCAAGCTCCCCCTCAGATACTAAAATCAGAGAATGCTCAAATCTCTTATATAAAATGGTAGAGCGTTGGCATACAACTTGCACAATTCTTTCATATACTTTACCTAATCTTGGATGACATATAATATCTAGTACACTCGAATGCCATGTAAATAGCTGTTCAAGTGCATTACTTATGAAATAGTGACAAGGAATGTCTATAAATGTGCAGCTCAGCACAGCTGCACGTTTTCTTATTATCTTCAATCCACAGTTGGTTGAGTCTCCAGAGGTGGAACCCACAGATACTCACACCTTACTGCATGTGATGTGTCATAGCCAAACACAGGCACAATAAATATTGTATAAAATTACCTCCAGGCTAACAGGTGCATATGAAATATAAATAACTTTGGGAGTTAGACTTGGGTTCCATCCACAAGATGGTGTATTTATAAATACACAAATATATAAAAAAATTATTGAAATCGAAATCATGGCAGTAAGCAACTGGGATAAGATATTCTCAGCCTAGGTTATCATGTTACATCTTATAAAGGGTAATAGTTTCACCAGGAAAATGTGAGACATTAACTGAGAAGACTCTTTACTAATGCAAAAATTATATTACCTTCATGTTGCAAGCTAATTCCATTAGTTTTTTAGCATTTTCTTCTGAGCGGTATCTTTTAGGAAGCTGAACCCTGAAGAACTTCAAGGCGCCTTCGAAGTCTGTCAATAGCAGGTCATCCCTGGAAGTCTTGAAGAAAGTAAGAAATTACATATAGAAAACAGGTTTGACCTGAAGAGACACAAGAAGCATTTTATGATTCTGGTTTTAAAAGAGTCACTTACTTGCACATTCTCCCTGTTAGGGAAAATGTTAGAGCACAGAAAAAGCTTAGAATGAGACTTTGACAGAGACACTGCCGTGCTTACTGCGGAGGGCAGACAATGCAGCTCGCAAAGGGACACATACCTTTAGCAATCCAAGGGCGACATTAAAAATGCCACTTATTCCCTGAAGGAGAAAAGACAAGAAGAACTTGTTCAGTGTTCTGCGTAGACTGTTCTGCCATTTTTCTTTGAAATATTCCACCATTGTAGAGAAACCATGAAACTTAAGTAAAGAATGTACTGTACCGGACCTATCTTGAAAAGCAAAGGCTGTGGCATATGACTGAAAAGCACTTAAAAGAAGATCCAACCTCAGGTTTTTCAAAAAGAAGAACTTTTCTAGCCCTATTCTCATATTCAACAAGAAATAATGCTCTTCCAAATAGTCCATGATTCCAAACCAAAAAAAAAAAAAATCAGTCATAAAATCATGTCCTATCAGGCAATTACTAGTGGTGAACTTTTCCTCTGTCCTGTGATCACCCATGAACCCTATATCCCAAAACTGAATTTGCTCTGGGCTCCCTCAGATTTGATATCCTTCATCTGACTAATCTGGGAAACATAAAGGCAAGGAACACACACAGGGAGGGGAGGCACTAACACCCCCATCAAAGTAATTGCAAGTTTCTAGAGCTCTGTTTCTGTAACTAGTTCCCCCTGAGGGTTTTCTGAGATAATTAGTTATAAAGTTTATGCAAATCCTTTAGTATACCACCTGGACCTCAGTGATTACCTAACAGATGGTTGTTCACATTTGTGACAACAAAATTTACAGGCTTGATACCAGATTTGTTATTATATAAATTATGTCATATCCAAATAAAGCTGGACTTGGAGGCAGGTTAGAATAATAGTATATTGTTAACTTTTATTTCCTATAAAGTATCTTACAATATTTTAGGCTGGATGGTAAATATAAATTGCTTATGGATTTTTTTTTTTCCAGTCCTGGGCCTTCAACTCTGGGCTGGGGGCCCTGTCTTTGAATTCTTTTCTGCTCAAGGCTAGTGCTCTACCACTTGAGCCACAGCACCACTTTTGGCTTTTTCTGTGGTTAATTGCAGATAAGAGTCCCATGAACTTTCCTGCCTGGTTGCCTTTGAACTGTGATACTCAGATCTCAGCCTCCTGAGTGACTAGGATTGCAGTCATGAGCCACTGGCGCTAGGCTTATGGATTTTTGTATGCTTTGAATGTAGTACAATCCCAACAAAAAGTATAGTACAGATATGTATGTGTCTACAGATGTTCAAGTACATAAAATGAAAAAACTATGTCTATGACATACTTGTATTATTCAACATATACATCTAGATGCATTATACACATAATACTCTGAATAGAAAAACATCATATTCCACATAGAAATCATACATATAAATATATGAATGCAAAGAAAGACTCAAAGAATCCACACAAAACTGTTATAAAGCAGGATCCTGGGACTGTTTTATCTTGTAAAGTTTCTATAACAAACATTATTTTATAGTTTGTTCATAAACAGGTATGTACCCTTCAAAACCCCAAATTATGATATATCAAGGACTGTTATTTATGCTAATATATTTATTTTCTTTAGTAGTAACTCCCTCATGTCTAGCAAATTCCTACCCAGACTAAAACAACACAACACAAGAAAAAACTCCTTGGTGGCTGGTGTGGTCATTTAACTAAGTTTTGGTTACTCCATAAAAATGTTGGGTATAATTTCCAAGGTTTCTTTTAAAAAGCCAGGCATAGTGGAACATGCTTATAACTGCAGCACCTGGGAGGATATTAGAGTAGGATTGAGAGTTTAAGGCCACACGGGGCTACGAAGTGAGGAATGGGGAGGTGAGGAAGATGCCCTGGACACCACCCACCCCCACTCATCCCAGCCTAAACACAGATACAAAGACTAGAGTTCTACTCTATCTAAGGACGAGACCATCCTCTGGAAAGATAGACTACTGCCAACTCTGCCTATCTACGTGAGAAAGAAACCTCTATTGAATTTGGTCACTGTGATTTTATTTTATATTTTTTAACAAATGTAAGCATTAGTTTAGCCTGCATACGGGCCATTTTGGTGTGGATTTCCCAGAACTAACATAAGACTGACTGTTTTAACAAAGTTCACACAGGGCATTGACAGAGTTAATACTTACCTCACATAGGAGCAGGTCGATGATATGGAAGACCATGTAGAGAGGGAATTTTGCAGTAAAAAGAGTAAGAAACCACTGGGAGGCATACATGTGTGCTTCAAGGCTGATATCCAGGAAGTGGTTGTACAGGTCAGGAATGTATTCCTGAAATAGCAAACTAATTAGATTTGGGCACACATGCAGCTAGCTATCCTACTGTGTCTCATGGGGCTCACAAATCTGCCAGCAATTGGTAAAAAAAAAAAAAAAAAGTCACATACTTGTGTTTTTCTAAAAATCTCCAAAGTGCTCAGAAGAATACTTATCTGGTGTTAAGCTGGCATTCAACTCTCCCTTTATACACCATGAAGTAGGTCTGAAGAGGAAGCCCTCCAATAGCGACAAGTATTTGGAAAGCTACTTTTTATTTCTAAGTTATGAAATGTCTGGGAAAGTGGGTTTCACTTCTGTTATGAGATTCCCAACCAGTCAGAGCCTGATGAATATTTCTTCATTGGCTTTGCTATGGAAAAGGTCTCTACAGTCATTTCTTCTTTTGGTTATTTATAAGACTGAAAACCAAACTCACACCCACAAGGTTCGCACTGTTAGATCTTGGCATTCTCATCACATAGTGAGACATGACAGAAATAAAACCCATCCTTTTCCACAGATGGTATCATGTCCTTAATCTAGCTCACCTTGTCCTGCATCTTTATAAAGTCCAACTCAGGTTGAATTCTCCTTACCTGCATCAGGTGCTCCAACTGGTAAAATTTGCAATGTAAATCTTCAAAATTCTGCTTGAAAAGTTCCCTGAGACCATAGTCAAACATGATCTTGACTAGAACACTAAATGCCTGCTCTTCAGGCATCTGTAACAGATAGGCAATGGGGGGAGAGAAAAGGGTAGGTCGTGAATCACAGAGCACTCTGCATATTAAATTCATCTTTCACTTGTCTTACCAGGAGATGAAGTGGTATATGAAGACTCAGGCCCAAAGCTCTATTTTGTAATATTTATTCGCTCAGCAAAGAAATGTGTAACGATGCCTACTGTCTGCCAGCACTGCTGCTGCCCTCCAAGAGCCTCCCTACAGCTAGAATAAATTAACTGTGATGAACCAGAGAGGATCGGTAGGATCACAGTGATGCCCGTGTCTCCTGCAGGAAGTCAGGGAACAAGCTTTGTGCGGAAGACAGGACTTGAGAAGATCAGGCTGATACCCAGAATAGGTCTCATCTTTCACAAATTGGAATGCCTCAGTTCTATCTGTTATCTCCCTCAGTTCCTAATAGTCATTCTAATACAACTATAGTTATTCCCCCTCTTTGGCAAAAACATAGCTTGTTGGAGAATATTACATATTCTAAGGCTTGTAAGAATGCTTCCAGTGCTATAGTACTTTTTGCAATAACGGTCAAAGTGCTACAAAACTCCACTTCCACTTACAATAAAATGTGGATTCATCCAGAGATTTATAGAAAACTATTTTTTGAGAAACTGGCAAGATGTCTAGTTTTCAACACAGAAGAAGAGCATTGGCTATGTTATTTAAGGCTTGGTGTGACTGCAGCAAACTTTCAAAAAAGTCAAGAAGGTGGGCGAGCTTCTATGGAACAAGATGATGGAGCAGCTCAGAGCACAGAAATCACCAAGAATAAAACAGCTAAAGAGCAAATCAGATCAGGCAGTAACTGAAAAGAGCACAGCAGATTATTATTGGAAAGGTAAGAGTGGCTGGGACAGAAGAAAGACCAATCTTCCGAGGGGTTTGGCATGAAAGGCAACTTCACTCTCTTCCTGTGAGGAAAAGGGAGCCTGAGCCGCGAGGCATTTCTCAGGCCGGGCGGCTGATCCACGGCACACAAACACTTAGCAGCACAGAGCTCAAAACAAGACACTGAGAATTTGGGAAAGCTATTTTCAAGGTGTTATAATAATTACATGGGATCAATGTTCTTGGGCTTAGTCTGTGAAGGAAGCTAAACCTCAGGACTCTGAGCTATGATGTCTGACTAAAACACAACAAAAAATGATCTCATTATTAGTATCAAAGTTTGGCATACTTTTACATGACCACAATACCACCAAGCTGAGTTTGCAAGAAGAAACAAGGTGGCTTTTGTTTTACCCACATGGCGACTGTCACAATATGTCACCAAGTCTTGGCTTCCCAGGGCTGAGGAAAACAATGTGCAGGCTCTCTCCTGGTCTCAGGCCCCCTCTCCCCTCCACGCGGCTACTGTCCGCTGCCTTCCTCTAATTCCTTCTATACGCAAGTGCTTCCCCACGTCAGGGCTCTTACATACTTTGCTATCTCTTTTGCCAGCAATGTTCCACTCTTTTCTCTCCTGCTTTAAAAATAACTATTATTTCCATAGCAACATAAAAAAGGAAAAAGTTAATGGTACTGAAACTTGCAAAAGAAAATGACAGTGCCTGTTTTTCAGGATGCAATGCAAAGGTTAACTCCCCAGAGGAGGTTTAAATCTTTAATGAGCCTCCCTGTTTTATTCTTACACCTAAACTCTTATTTTACCTTCATGACACCCCTGAAATTCCTAATGACAGACTTGCAGAATTATCTGCTTAGAGCTAGGTAGAATTATTAACTCTCTAGCATGTCTACAATTCACCTGTGACCTTCAACATAGCCCTCATAAACTCTGCAGACATCAGCTGTCCACAAATTTTAAATTGAATGAGGAATCCTTCAAGATGTAAGATTATACAACTTAAGAATGTGGAGTACCTTACAAGACAGTTTGCTTGAATTTTCTGAAACTATCACAGTCCTGGAATACATTTTTTTTAAAGATAAGAAGGTAGTTTAGATTAAAAGAATAAAGACTGCCGGGTGCTGATGGCTCACGCCTGTAATCCTAACTACTCAGGAAGTTGAGATCTGGGGATCATGGCTCAAAGCCAGCCCAGGCAGGAAAGTCTGTGAGACTCTTACCTCCAATTAATCACCAAAAACCCAGTACTGGCACCAGAAAAATAAAGTCAGAAAACCCTAGCTTATCAATATAAAGATATTCCTGGAATATTTTATATTCCACACTTACCCTGTGACTCTGAATATTTCCTGGCAGACCATCACCTAGTTCTTTTGGTAATGATACTAACAGCTGACATTTATTAAGCATCTACTATATGCAAGGCAGTATATTAAACACTTTACATGCATTGTATCTGCGGTATGTGTAGTATATATGTGCTCAGATCAAACCTAGAAAATGTCAAGTGCCAGTGTCTTATACCTGTAATCCTAGCTACTCAGGAGGCTGAGATCTGAGGATTGTTGTTTGAAGCCAGCCCCGGCAGGAAAATCCATGAGATTTTTATCTCCCATTTATCATCAGAAAACTGGAAGTGGCACCGAGACTCAAATAGAGCACTAGCCTTGAGTGAAAAAGCTCAGGGACAGCGCCCAGGCCCTGAGTTCAAGACTTACAACCGACCAAAAAAAAAGAATAATGAGAAATGACAACCAAATGTAATGTGTGAATCTTCAGTGGTTAAAAAAAAGGGGGGCTATAAAGGAGCTGCTGGGTCAATGGGAGAAAACCGAATGTGGACTGTGTGAGACATTGCTGATCAATGTCAGTGATCGACATCATGTGACGATTATGTGGCAGAATGCCCCTCTCCTGGTACTTAGGAGTGAAATGTGTTGGTGTTTGTCTATTTCCCTTCAAAAAAGAATGTTTTTTCCCCAATAAAATATAAAACAGAATGGTAATCTCTGTGTAAGACCTTAATAAAATATTTTTTTTAAAAAAACATAAAACACGTGGAAACGAAGAAAGAGGGAGATGAAAAGAGAGATGACGGTGCGGAACACACTGATGCGAGCACTGACCATGGGAGAGCCAGCTCACTGATGCGAGCACTGACCATGGGAGAGCCAGCCTACTGATGACAGCACTGACCATGGGAGAGCCAGCCTACTGATGCGAGCACTGACCATGGGAGAGCCAGCTTAATGTGAGGTCCTCATTCATAGGATTGAAAAGACAATTGAACATCTGGAGGGTAAAGATCTTTGTCAAATGAACACACAAATAACATGATACTAAAGAAACTTATCTTTGTTGCTCTTCACTTATCCAATATGTAAATCCTCAAACAAATATTAGTGACAGTGGCTACTTCAGGGACGGGAAAATGTTCTCGAGGGCCAGACAATATTCAAGTCTATCCAAATCATCCCAATAAAAAGGAAGAATATCATTTATTACCCATGCTTTTCTTCTTTGATGACACGAAATTAAGGAAAAAGGATCCAGGTATATCTGAGAATGTGGCCGAATTCAATCTAAAATTCGGACTAAAGCTTATGTGAGCTAAGACAGGACACGTGTAAGCTGTAACAGATGCCTAGTTACTCACATGGAGAAGCAGCACAGCAGCAAGAAATGACTGGCCCTGGCAATAGCCAATCTCTTCATCGTACACAGAATAAGCCTGGAGGTGGGGAGAAAAAACAGGAAGTTTAGATGAATATAGCCACTCGTGGGCAATGATGGCCCTAGAGGACCTTGAACGCAAGAGCCTGAACGATGGTACCCAAACCCTACTTGAGCATTATGATGGCCAATGCATAACTTTAAAATCTCTCTCCAATTTGCATTTTTTAAATTTATGATAAATAAGAGATCATGACCTTGCCATTTCCTGTGGCTAAGAATTGGAAGAGGCTAAGAACCTACCTGAGCCGTTTTAGGAGATCCTTGTCACTGCTCATATTGTACCCTTGGGATGTCCTTTTCCCTCTTCTCTAACTAAAAAGTGTTTTCTTCCTTCAAGCCTTCAACATGTTCCAAATTGTCCAGAATTAATCCTTCTCTTATCTGTGCCTCTGAGGGTTTATTATTTCATGATTCTTATGGCACTGACCACACTGCACGTCTAGTGTCCATCTTCTCTAGTGGACTAAGGACAGAGGCGATGGCGATGGCTCTATGCAACATGGCTAGCATCTTCCACATAGTAGGTGTTCATTAACACTCTCAACATTATTCATTTTTCCTTCTGAGAAAAAAAGCATTTTGGCAAATATACCAAAATACAATCCTTTATTGCCAGTAATAACTTTGCTGATAAGAGTGATTACTCTGAATTTCTCTGGAATTCTTATTTTTATTTTTCTTGGCTGAAGGTGAGTAATACCCATCTCCTGTGAAGACTGAAAACAATCCTGGCATCTAACATTCCTGGGGCTTTTAGCTATTTTTCAGAGGTCTGTTGTAATGATGGGTATTGGTCATTCTTACGTAAACTGGTAGAAAAGGGAAACCCTCCAGTTTCAGGACATTATTCCCTTTTGACAACTTACTTCTGGTGAAACTTTCTTTATTCTCCACTTACGTCTTTGTGTGTTAAAGTTCCTGTGTCCCAAGAAAACAATCTTAAGAATTATTGAGTATGTTAAGAATGTATCTTTTATGAAACTGCTGCTTATCAGATGACAACTACATTAATATATCAATGGGTTTCTCACTATCTTTTAGTCAAAATCTACCTTTTAAAAACAGATATAATCACTGGACATTGGTGCCTCACACTTATTATAATCCAGCTATTTGAGAGACAGACCAGGAGAACTGTGGTTTGAAGCCAGAATGATCAAAAAAGTCTGCAAGGTTCTTTCTTGACCAACAGCTGGACATGGTAGTGTGCACCTGCCATTCAATTATGGCGACTTTATACTGAAAAGTAGGTGAATGACAGTCTAAGCAGGAAGTAAGACCCTATCTCAAAACATAAAACCAAATGGAAAAAACCCAGCAGAGTGTCAGTTACTCACACCTATACTCCTAGCTACTCAGGATTGCAGTTTTTGAAGCCAGACAAATCTGAGAGACAAATCTGAGAGATTCTTATTGCAATTAACCAGTGAAAACTTGGAAGAAGAGATGTAGCTCAATGGATGGAGTGCCAGCCTTATTTAGAGCTCAAGGCCCTGGGTTCAAGCTTCAATACTGGCACAAAAGATTGTGGAGGGAAGGTGAAGACCTGACTCCATGATAGAAAGTCTGCCTAGCAAGTATGAGGCCCTGAGTTCAGACCTCAGTACTGCCGAGAAGTAAAACAAAAGCCCATTTATATCATATTTTCATTTGATGTAATTCCATTAGACTTTTCCCATCTTTTTACACTTCTCTGATGAGAGGGGGAGGTATACACGAGACACACGTGTACTTTCCTACAGACAACTTGTGCAGAGAAGGCTTTAGAGAGGATATAACTGGAATACAATGAGGCAACACCTTCTACCTCTCAAAGTAGTAAGAACAAATGTTAGTGCCAATATTGCTAAGATTGTATTAAAAATGAATAGTGCTAAGCACTAGTGACTCACACTTGTAGTCCTAGCCACTTAGGAGGCTGATACTGGAGGACTGTGGTTTGAAGTCAGCCCCTGCAGTAAAGTTCACGAGACTCTTATTTCCAATAAACCACCAGAAAACCAGAAGTGGTGCTGTGGCTCAACTGGTAGAGTGCTAGCCTTGAGCAAAAAAATTCAGGAATAGTACTCAGCCTCAGATAGTAACATATGCCAATACAGCGCTTCTTCCTCTTTTTTTTTGGTTATTGTTGTTGGTCTTGGGACTTGAACTCTGGTGCTGTCCCTCAGCTCTTCAGCTACCAGTTGAGCTACACCACCTCTTCTGGTTTTCTGGTGGTTAATTGGAAATGAGAGTCTCATGGACTTTCCTGCCCAAGCTGGCTTTGAACCGCGATCCTCAGATCTCAGCTTCCTGAGTAGCTAGGATGACAGGCGTGAGCCACTGACACCCCGCCAATATAGCTCTTTAGTAATATTTTTGTAGGTCTCAATCTGTGATTTATTATTTACAAAAATATGTCTGAGTTAATTGGCCTTAGTTTCATGCAATTAGCATTATGAACTTGACTTCTTATCCTCATTCAGTCCTATCACCTCAAGTGCTTAGCACAGAGCTTAACAGGATGAAAATGTATGGAATCTCCACATGAAAAGAACAGAGGGAATATTTTCCAGGTTGACTGAAGAGCCTGGAGGAGTGCATGGAGGCGTGAAAGTATGATGCATCTGGGAGACATTTGAAAGATAAGGTTCATGGGTCTATGAAGCAGCATATGAAAGACAAGACATTTCACTAATTCAACACTTACTAAACCTGCTATATGTCAAGTAATGTGCCAAAAAATGCTGCAGATGTAAGCACATATAAAATGACTTCTGTCTTGGGAAACTTCCCAAGACAGTGGAAGATAGCGACAAATCAATAAGCGGAGTGCAGTGAGAAGTTCATGGAGAGAAGCAGCAGCAAAGAATAAGGCAGGAAATTATATTATAAAATATTGTCCACAATAATTAAGGAATCTAGGACCAGAAAATGAACCGAGGAGCTCTTACTTCATTTTATTGGGCTAAACACTGAAGGTTCTGTGGCGGCTACAGAAATGATCCAATTCTGGGACAACAGTGTAGCAAATCAAATCTAGGTTAGAACCCAAAGTCAAGGAGGCAAACTCAAGGTAGTTTTTGGAAAAGTAACATTCAACAAGGCCTGAGCAAGGACACTAGACAATAAATGTACAGTTGTAAAGGACATCAACTGCACCTAACAATCTCAACAAAAGAACTGAAACAGAAATAAGTAGATCTCCAGCAAGATGATGGCACAGGGAAGGGGGGAACACATTTAATAAAAAGAGATATGGCAATCAAATATAAAACAGATTTTGCTGGATCCTGATTGCAACCAACTATAAAAGAGAACTCAGGTATATATGAATATAGAGCTGGTTACTAAATGGCATAGATAGATAATAATCTTATTTTTCAAATATGTACAGGGAAAAATTTAGGATTATGATGCCTGAGATCTGCTTTGTAGTACTTTAGAAAAAAAAAAGAGGCAGGTAGATGAAGCAACTGTGGCAATATGTTGGCAAATATTGAATCAGTGTGTTTGAACTGTTCCATAATAAAACGTGTTTTAAATGGATTCTACTTTAAGACTTATTTTGTTCCATTTACCTGACAGCCTCTGACATGGAAACGATGTGGCAGCCTGGAATTTAGGCTCTGAGCTAATGCAGACTTGGGAAAACCTGCACAGTAGTGGGAGGGACCTCTAGGTGACTGAGCTAGAGGAACTACCAAGTGAACAACTAGGGGAAGACCTCTGTTGTAGGAGCAGGGAATGGGAGAGAAAACAGCAGAGCTGTTGCTAGAGTTGAGAGAGATGAAGGTATAACCAGGAGCAGGGAAAGTCTGACAGGAGTGGCAAGAAGATCACTGAGAGACTAGCACGGGTATGTAGGAATGCAGTTCCCTTTTGGGTAGTCTGCAGTAGATGATGGCCACAATGACTGCTTAAGTGGTGGTAATATGATGGAGAAGTGGCTAAATAAGGATGATCCGAGAAGATCATGGCAAAATTATAGCATTGTGTGTCTTATGGAAAACTTAACATTAAACCCAAGAATGATTTCTTTAATCTCTAACTGCCTTTATAGTTCAGATCATCTAATTTAACCATTTAATCTTTTAATTTAGCCTTAATTTCCAGTCTGTCTTAAAACTAGTTGTTACTTTTGCCTTTTTGATGATAAAAATTTAAACAACTTCTTAAAAATATGCAGGGCAAACTTGAAAACTTCAGATTCCAATTTCTTATAGTGCCAATGAAGCAAAAATTTTAAAATGGATTATTTAGACTGAAAGGGCTGTCATTTCCTTGAGTGTTCAGGTACCTATTTTATTTGGACAGAAATCAGTACTTAACATCACTTACTATGCTGCAATGCTACACACCCCCACTGACACATCCCACTGTCGGGCCATGCCCAAAGTGCCAAGTTTAGTATTTACAATGTGAATACCGAAAAGGAGTTTGCAATGTTACAGGGCTCTGAGACTGTTAACTCAATTTTTGAAAGTATAAATGTGAAGTCAGGAGACTGTTGTTTGAAAATCCTGATTGAAACGGGATAGGGGACACCAAAAAAAGATATCATTTTATTTCTAATTATTTTCTTTTCTTTCAAGAGTCTAAAATTGTATTGCTACATTTGATTTTATAAAGTATTCTCCCTCTTTTATCCCCTCATCTTGGAGCATCGAATACAAATTACTCTTCTGTAGTTATCTTTTATATAATTTCAGTCAAAACTGGCCTTTTTATATGAAATACCTTGCATATTTTATATAAGGAATCTTGGCCATCTCCTCCTGTGTCCTTGAAGTAATCATGAGCTGGGAATGTCCGGTTAATATCTCGAGTGATAGCACTGTCCTGGGGGGACTCCTGCGGAAACAGAAAAGCTGATCATGTAAATGCTTGTTGAGGTTTTACGCAAGGTCTCCTCACATGTCCATTCAAATGTTGTCAGGATATGCATAAACACAAGTATGCCCACAGTAACTCTCTTGTAAGGGATCACAAGCAAAATTAGCCAGACTCTGATAACTACCGCATGTTTTCTCTCCAATGCTTAACTTAGATTAAAAAAAGGAAGAGAACGAGGACTACTTGAAAAGAGGTACGGGGCACAAAAGAGGGTAAGCCAGTAAGTAAGCCAGGCTCAATGGCTCATACCTATAATCCTAGCTACTCAGGAGGCTGAGATCTGAGGAATGCAGTTCAAAGCCAGCCTGGACAGGAAAGTCCATGACTCTTATCCCCAATTAACCACCAGAAAACCAGAAGAGGTGCTGTGGCTCAAAGTGGTAGAGTGCTAGCCGTGGAGCAAAAGAACCTAGGGACAGCATTTAGGCCCTGAGTTCAAGCTGCATGACCGTCCCCCTCCCCCACACACAAAAAATCAGAGTACAATATATATGCATACAAAAGTGTCCTATTTAAATTCATTATTTTGCACAATTAATATATGCTACTGAAAAGAGAGTTTAAAATGCACATGTAAAGGAAGTAGATGGAATAAAACAGCCTTCTTCATTCTATAGGCTTCACATTATACTCCTTATATACTGAAAAGAAGTACAAGATTATTTCCTTTTCACTGTTAACAGGGAACATGTACAACAAAAAACAAAAATCCATTTTCCATAGAAAAAGTCAATTAATTGATCCTTGGCATAAAGCCCACATGCCAGTTCTCAACTGGAAAAGAGAAGTTCCTTAAATGTAGGTTTCTTAGGGCCAAATGGCATAAGAATGCACAGAGTAAACAATTTAATACAAAAGACCACTAAATGTCAAGGGATTCAAACAGAGAAAATATCGTTTGCGTTTTGACAATGAAGAAAAATGCTTCCTCTCTCATAATGGTTAACTAAAATTGGGCATATGTCAATAATGTCAGCAGTCATAAATGAAATCTATCAAGTACCCATGACTCCTATTTCTTCCCCATGCTTAAATTATTTGTTCACATGTTAAAGAATTGTAGCTCAATTAGGTGCTGGAAGCTCAAGCCTATAATCCTAGCTACTCAGGAGGCAGAGATCTGAGGATAAGGTTCAAAGCCAGCACAGGCAAAAGTCTATAAGATTCTCATCTCCAATTAACCATCAAAAGCCAGAAGTAGGGCTGGGAAGGTGGCTCAGTGGTAGAGCGCTTGCCTTGTATGCCTGAGGCCCTGGGTTCGATTCCCCAGCACCACATAAGCAAAAAGAAAAAAAGCTGGAAGTGGAGCTGCGGCTCAAGTGGTAGAGTGCTAGTCTTGAGCTGAAGAGCTGAGGGACAGCACCCAGGCCCAGAGTTCAGGCCCCCCCCCCAAAAAAAAGCCACAAGTAGAACTGTGGTTCAAGAAGAAGAGTACCAGCCTTGACTAAAAAGCTCAGGCAGAGTGCCCAGGCCCTGAATTCAAGCTCCAGGATCAGTACTTGCTCATGTACCAGCATGCGCGTGCACACACGCACGTGTGCACGCGCGCGCACACACACACACACACACACACACACACTCAACTAAGAAATAGGCAAGCTGTACTTACTCTTGAAAAGGGATTATTATCAGCTATATCTTAAAAACTTAAAAGATGACTTAATGAAGTGGACAAGACTTGGACATTTCACAAAAGATAATATATAGATGCAAATAAGTAAATGAAAAGGTAGTTATTAGAAAAGTGCAATTTAAAATCACAGTGGAAAAATCCAGTCAAAGTATCTGCTAAGAAGGAATACAACCTGAAGCAATAACTCAACCAAATGAGGATTTGATAACTCAGCATTTTAATTTAAATGTGTTTTAGGAAGACAACGTCAAAGTAGCATTAAGTAACAAGCACTAAAATAGTGCTTAATTTTTTTCATTAAAACTTTCCAAAAATGATAAACATATATCACTGACCTATATTCAGAATACCATCATGAGAAATGTTGTCAAAAAGCCTATTTATTTATTTATGGTGCTTGTCAATCAGGATTTCAGGCATGGTAAGGCAAGCACTTTGCCTTAACTAGAGTCTATTAACTGTAATCCTGAATTATATCTACAATTGAACCATGTTCCTTTTTTTTTTTGATAGGTCATGGGGCTTTACACTCAGTTCAAGGCCACTTCTAGGTTTCTGGTGGTTAACTGGAAATAAGTGTCTCAGACTTTCCTACTGGGTTGGCTTTGAACTGCAATCCTCAGATCTCAGCCTCCTGAATAGCTAGGATTACAGGTGTGAGCCATTGGTGCCCAGCCCACATTTCCATTTTTACAGAGAAGTCTTTTTTAAGTAGCAGCTGACTTTAGGAAAATTATTGTAGTCTGTATGATCACAACGGAAGCCCTGAAACATTTAAGAATGACAGACTATGGCTTAAAACAAGCATGAAGCCTAGAAAATTAGATTGAGAATGGAGAGGAATACAAACAGCTTCAAGACACTTTATGCCAGTTATATCACTTGATGTAAAACAAAATCTGAAAACTCTGTATAGAGAAATATGATTTGGAAATCCAGATAAAAATGGGACGATAGCTGGGCGCTGGTGGCTCACGCCTGTAATCCTAGCTACTCAGGAGGCTGAGATCTGAGGATCGAGGTTCAAAGCCAGCCCAGGCAGGAGAGACTGTGAGACTCCTATCTCCAATAAACCACCAGAAAACTGGAAGTGGCGCTGTAGCTCAAGTGGTAGAGCGCTCGCCTTGAGCTGAAGAGAAGAGGGACAGCGCCCAGGCCCAGAGTTCAAGTCCCACAACCGACAAAAAAAAAAAAAAGGGACGATAAGGGGGGGGGGGATCTACTTCAGTGGAAAAGCGCTTGTGTGGCCAGTGGAAGACCCTGAGTTCAATCTTTCTCATTCTGAAAAGGAAAAAAGAAAAAAAGGTAGTGGTGGAGGGAACCTCTGAAAACATTTTATAACTGGCCAGTTTCATCAGTTCATCCCTTATCTGTTGATCGTGGGAGCTAGCAAACTACTCGGCAGATGAGGGAAGGAGACAATGTCCTTGAGAAGGTTAATTTGAAAATTCACATGCTGAAATTTAGAAGCCCTCAGGAATAACGAGAACTTGAGGAGTTCTGTGTGAACCACTTGTTTAAAATATTTGGTCTTAGGAAATGTGCTGAGGAATTTGGAATAAAAACAGTTGACTCACAGAGGCCGGGTCATATAAAAATGATCCACAAATTCTAACAATGACAAATTTAGTTAAGTTCCTATTAGAATGACATTGTTCAATTGGAAAAGGTTCTGAAAACAAATCTCAGTCACATTATGGTACGCTCTTCCTAAAAGAATGCAGCAAAGCGTCTTTGTAAAACATCCAAACCAAATACATGTGAAACTAAGCTTTATAAAACAGTACATGTTCCTTTTATTTTGAAGGTGTTAAACATAGCTGTAGCTGATATACAGAGAGATCTTGCTTGTGTAACACATAGTAGGTAACAATACTCATGATCAAATGAATCAAGTCAACAGTAGTCAATCTCAAGAGGCTGTAGTTAGTAAAATGATTTAACAGACAACAAGCTCTTACAGCAATAGTACAGACATGGAAACCTTCAGAGAACAAGGCAAAATTGCAAAACTGTCCGATGATCTATTCTAAAAGTTCGATTTTATGACAGCAGTGTTTTTGGATTAGCTGATTTTATTTTGGCTGTTTTATTTCTCACAACGAAAACATCTTTAATCTCCACAAGAAAATAAAATGGCATAGAATTACAAAGTATTGGTATCTTCCAAATATTTTCTGTAAAGGGTCAGACAGCAAAAAAATCTCAAATTTGAAGGCCATTCAGTATAGTTATTCAACTCTCACTTTGTAAGTGTAGCCACAGAAAACATGTAAAGAAATGGACACTGGAGTTTTCTGATTAACATTTACAGAAACAGGAGGCATGTGGGATTGGCCCCATGGCAGCAGTTTGCCAATTTGTGATCTAAGAATAAAACAAAGCAATTTTCAGTGGCAACATGATTAGGGAGATTTCTGTTATGATTTTAAATACATTTGCATGCTACTGGTAATTGATTTTATATACATTTTTCCCTTAGAAACTGTCAGAAATAGTCTGCAATAAGTTGAAATGTATATTCTTTTGAACATCAGATCCTTAACATATGTTAAAAATGCTGGTGCATACTGCAAAAATCTGTAATTCTACATGTGCAGTATACTAAATATTCAAATGAAACTATTTTTAGTGCTATCTTATCTCTTGTGCTATAAGCAATGAAACAAATAGGACCTACACCTCAGAAATGATAAAATGACATATATTAGGCCAGCTAAAATGAAAAGAAACCAAATATTGGTGATTTAATGACACAACTGTAACTTTTATTGGTAAAGGGTGTGAAAACTGTTTTTGTTTTTTTTTTGGGGTCCGGTTGAGGGGCCTGAACTCTGGGCCTGGGCGCTGTCCCTCAGCTCCTCAGCTCAAGGCTAGCGCTCTACCACTTGAGCCACAGTGCCACTTCCGGCTTTTTTCTTTTTGCTTATGTGGTGCTGGGGAATCGAACCCAGGGCCTCATGCATGCAAGCCAAGAGCTCTACCACTGAGCCACCTTCCTAGCCCGAAGGGTGTGAAAACTGATACAATCACTTTGCAATTGTGAAAACTGATACAATCACTTTGCAATTCTGTAGGCAGAATCTGGGAGCAGAAGAGAAAAGTCAGATAAAAAACTAGGGCAGCAATGTTTTGTAGAATGGGAACCTCTTTGAACAACTACTTAAAGATAATTTATTTATTTTTTTTTTTGGGTCCGGTTGTGGGGCCTGAACTCTGGGCCTGGGCGCTGTCCCTCAGCTCCTCAGCTCAAGGCTAGCGCTCTACCACTTGAGCCACAGCGCCACTTCCGGCTTTTTTCTTTTTGCTTATGTGGTGCTGAGGA